ATATGATAAAATTAGAAAAGACTGAAAAGAATAGAAAAATGTTACGCTGACACTTAAAATTGCATCAGGGATTCTAAACATATGCTACTTCGCTGCTTCTAAAATATTTTGCAATTTTACTGTTGAATTGTATACGTTATGGTGCGTGCTGTCGTAGTGTGATAAACACAATGCTTAACCCTTTGTTGCATCATATCCACTCTAGTAGACAAGAGTTTAAATTTGTTTATTCTTCTGTAAATGCCTTAACAGATTCCATTCCTGGGTTTATTCATTCTATATTATTAGAACTTTCAACTGTCGATCATAGATGGCTGTATAGCATCACTAACTGCTATTTGGAAAACGGCTGCTACTTCTGTTTCCAAGTTAATACAGTTTCTCATAGTAAACATTATATAAAATTGCTTACAGTTTCTTATACTGCCATTTTTTATTCATAATTAGTAATTTTAAACATTTTATTTTAAATGTTAGTTTGAGAAAACTGTGGAGTGGGTAGATAAAGGTCTACCGAAAAGAGTGAATTGAAACCCAAATGTACTGCTTATCAAGCCAAAATACCACTGGAAATGTTTATGTTTGGCAAGGAATTTCTAGAACATTTGACATTTGAATCCAATAAGTACAGATTACAAAATCGTAGCAAAATGAATTCAATCACAATCGACGAAATGAAGGTATTTTGGGGGATCTGTATGTACATGTCAGTTGTAGATTTACCATTTAGAAGATGGTAATGATCACTGCAAACAAGGCAGGAAATAATTTCAAATGGCACTGACCGTAAATCTTTCGGAAGAGATTTGTATGCATGTACGTATATGCATGCTGTCCACTGTAGTAAACATATTTAAAATGAAATTTGAATAACATTAATATTTTTTTATTATTACTAAGGTTATTTTAAGTAGAAAAAATACAAACATTTTCGTTTAACGTTTCTAGATTATTTGTATGCAACAAAGGGTTAACAAAGCTAAAAGATTTTTTTAAAAATGAGTTAGCAAGAATGAAAACTACTGCAGAGTGATAAACTGCAAGCTTAGCGAGATTTATTTTTTATCTATCTATGTAGTGCTTTTTGGTGATTAAGACAGTATTCTCATCTGATCCGCGAATTTCTATAAATTTTACGGCATTGAATAATATTTTGTAAATCTCAGGTTTTTATGCAAATATCGAATGAAATTCGCAAATTTTGGAATTTTAGCCTATTACGCGTTAATTGATGATACAAGTATTATATTATTTTTTATGTTTATATATTTTTTACACTAATTTTTGTTAGAAATTTAGCAAAAATGCGTTGAAAAGTTATTTTACTAAGAAATGTAAACTACAGTAGTGAAATTTGATTTAACGCTAACGTTTCCTGGATTTCTGCAACATGAGAAATATTCATTCCCGTTTGCAGGCCCACCAGTGGCCGAGCGGTAAAGTCATTGAACACTGGTAGTTCGGTCCGAGGTTCGAATCCCGCGAACGGGCTGTCTGCATGGGCGTTTTCGTGGTTTTCCCCATGTGTAAAGTGTATACGAGCCAGTTTCCCTTAGAAAGTCCTCCACGAAGGCACCCCTCCCCTTAGGCAAATAGCCCTCGTGTGCTTTGCCATAATTAAATACACATACATTCCCATTTGCCTGACGATATGAACAAACAGTATCGAATAATAATGTTTTTGGAAAGTGATAATAAAAATTATGCGCAACATAATTTATAAAACCATCATCCAATTTAATGGTTTCTTGATAATGGTGTTAAAAGGGTTTCCAGAATTTGACTTTTAAAGAAAACTAAATTTCAATTAAATACGTAGTATAATATTTATTGAGTTGCGTGCTCGGTACTTGTGTTACTGTTTCGTTTCGAAAAGTCACGCTCGTCTCCCTAAACCAAAGCTTAATATAAAGCCTCAATCGCGATATTTTAGAACAAGTCTTAAACCTGCCGCAACATTGCGAATTTTGTCTTTTCTTACGTGGGTTAATTTATAGCCTTACCCATAAGTGATTAAACAGACAAAGAAACTATTTAAACAAAGGATTTACAAACATTGAATTAAATATACTCATTCAAATAATTACTTTTGTTTTCTTGAAGAAGGCAGTTCAATCTTAAACCCTCTCAAAATTCACCCACTGTATAGATAACCCTTAGAATGAATAATATTAATTTTTCCTTTTGAGGTTAAATATTGTCTATTTTCATGCATCCCTAAAAATTAAAATTATAATACAGTTCATTCTATATTTTGAATTCCAGTCTTAGATGATGCTCTTTGCTTAGACTATAAAAAATTCCTTTATTTCTACTCCTGGCATCAGCAATCTGTATAGATAAAGAAGAAGGCTGTATGTTTGGTTGTCCTCTAATAAAACGTTCACTTCTATAGCTATCGTCACCAAACTTTCTACAATTCTTTTCTGGGTCTTGGAAAAGGTCAACATCCAATTTTCTTCAAAAAACAATGAGCTAAAATCAGAGATATTAATTACAAACTCAGAAAAACGATACGTTTTGGCCTCATTTTTCCGACTGGCAAAAGTCTCGCAAGCTGGAGATGAAAATCTGCTTTGTTTCGAAAGTTGTTGCCACTGCTCGCTTTCAAATCCTAGAGTTCGGTAATAAAAAAATTCCAAGTTTTACGATGAAATAAAAATAGCATTGGCAAACATTAAATACAATATTCCCGATTTCAAACTTCGTGGAAAGCCATTTCGACTGTTCCCATCTTCGTACTTCTTTAATCAGCCGGAATACTAATTAAGAACTCTGAAAGCGCTAATTTTCGCACTCATTTTTACACAGTCTTGGGTGTTGGAGATAAAAATGCTTTATTCCGAAAAGTGTTTCTGCTGCTCGCTTTAAAATCGTAGAGTTTTTTAATCAAAAATTTGTAAGTTTTACAAAATCTATACATATAAAGAAGAATATCTGTTTATGTGTTTGTTTGTTTGTTTGCGTTATATTGATTTCTCATCAATTATGATCTATGTTTGGCCACATTTAATCGACTAAAATTGAATATGAAGATGAAACAGTGGATAGAACTTGAGTTTTTACGACGACCACTTGGTTGGAAAGACGAAAATCATTAAAATCTGCGTGCCATTGTTGCTGATATAATGAGAGAGAATTAGCTTATTTTTCTATAGAAATTTTTTATATGGGTTCCATATCGCACCAGAGTGAAAAATGTATGAGAATCATACTTTTTGCATCGTTATTAGAGAGAAGGATTACAGCGGTATCGTGCTCTCTGTTGTTAGATGCATTATTCTTAATCTAACTTAACTGGAATCGGGCACGTCCGCTACTAATAATATCATCAAATTTATGTTATTGTGCATTGAAATTTTAATGTTAAAGTTTTAATGGAACCTGATAAAGTTTAATGTATAGCTCCACTTAAATGCGATAGGCTTAATTTGTCACGCAGCTGAAGTCATTTTTCAAGCCATTGAGTAGATTCATATTAGCCTACAAGTTTGGTTTTAGTAACGCGTTATTCTCATGCTAAAACGAAAATTAGGTTGTACAGACATTGGGATTTTTTTTTTGGAAGCCGGAATGATGAAAAATGAGCAAACGCTTGCGCCAGGAATCGAACCAGAGACCTCTGGAATACGCGCCCAGCATGCAGACCACCACACCACGAAGGCACGAGAAGAAGGCGGGAGAAATACCTTATAAGGCTGAATTTAAAAGGAGAGCGAAACTGTAGTTTTGTGAAAGCACTGTCGCAACAATCCAGTGTGTCATATCAGCCAGAGATGATGAATTGCCCACATATCGAATCTGCGAATTATAGGTGCTACAGAGCAGGATTTGCTTATCCACTGCAGAAGCCGAAATAATAAATAATAATTTGATTTTGTGATTTACTGCTTAAAACACCTGTATTCTCAAACTCCGCAGGTAGTGTTATCTAGTTGGACTTGTTAAATTGTTTTTCATTTAAATACGCTATTTTTGAATTTAAAAATAATCCCTTTAGTTAAGCTTTATCTCTTTTCTTCTGTTATTACAATTTAGTTAGATTTCTATTGAATTTAAGAAAATAAAATTCTTCGTAAATATAGGGATTAATCAAATGGCAAATAAATAATTAATTAAATTTATATTTCGCATGCTTAGGATCTGGAAAGAATGCTGTTAGTTGTCTTTTTATTTATTGAGATTGTAGTTTTGTAACAGAATAATATGCTCATCTTTGGTTTTTCTATAATAAAAGTTTAAGACTAATATTCATTAAAAAATCATAGCTATTAATAAGTCAATAACTTTTATAATTCCATATTATTTTGGCGGTATATTTATGAAAAAACCTCATTCATTTGCTTCCGGAATATTGAAGGAAGTCTGACATTACAGATCAAATTATTGTTAAATATGTAAACTAACTGTATCTATATCGCATCTTCAAAATGGCTTTGGAGCGTTTAAAAAAATAACAATAAGCAACTAGTCAGCAATCACACAAATACATTTTTAGAATACGTTCTTGCATTAAAGAACTGTTATCTGTTTGGAAAAAAATTATTCATTCTGTAGTGCAGCATATTTTGTTGCCATTCATTTTGTAGCAAAAGAACTCTAATTTTTTACAGAATTTGCCATTAGCGGTATTAATAGAACGTTTTTCACATATTTCAGTTAACAAATAAATAAGCTTCGTCAAAGAGTAATAAAACAAATTTAGATAGAATTTATAATTTGCAATCGCTTTATTAAGAGATTTAATAATTCTAACTAAGTAATTTGAAAATTAAATTAAGCTGCATAATTAGTCTTATATAGAATTATTCTTAACTAGAAAAGAAATGCAAAATTTCAATTTATAGAATTCTCTTTTTCTTAGAAACTATATATTAAGTTAAAACACTAAAGAATCAGATAGTTAAAACTTTAAAAAGTTACAAAATTACCTAGCACCTTTAAAATGATTAGCAGGTCAATAATAAAATATGAGAAATTTAAAGATCCAGAGGCTTTACCTTTTTGTTTATCTGTGGCAGCGTAAACTTTAGCGCAAGTTCCTACACCAAGTAACTCTTGAAGTTCAAATCTGCTACCAGGAGTCGGTAGTTCATCTAAGTGTATATGCTGACTTACGGGATCCATGGATTTCCTCCTCGTACCAGATCCTAGGTATGGTTCTTCCAACATTTTTCTTAAACGGTTTTCCAATTCAAAGAGCAGAAAACAGACGAGGAAAATTTGGGCTTCTTCACTTGTTACAGTTGCGTTTTTTCATACAAATGATGGCTATCTTACTGTTATAAATAATGTCTCCTTTGCGTTAAAGAGTGATCTTAGAATCAAAGAAGATGCTACTTATATTGGCATGAATAAGATGAGTCTTTAACGATATTAAGCAAGTTTAGAAGTATTTCTATGGTCAAAAAGACACAACAGTTACTTAAAAGTATATCTAAACGTTTTAAATAAATTAAGAGTTTTACTCTAATTTAAGTTATTGGAGACTGTATTTATGAATCAAGTAAGACAATTTACACAGAACAGCTGAGGGAAACAAATATTAGAGAAGAGCGGTGTTTAGACGGAAAAAGGGTTAGCAGTCGACCTTTTCACGCCAGTTCTGCTGTTTTGCGAGAGCAGGGAGCTGTAAGATTATTTGGAACACCGAGCCAAGACGCCAGTGTAAGGCTTCACTTTTCATTGAAGATTAAAGCTAAGGGACTTCGTAGAAATCTCACCAATAAACTAAAAAGTCCTCGAATAAAATCTATGTTTCAGTGAAGTGTTTATCATGACAATTGAACGATAGTGAAATCATGAAAAAAACGATATTAGTTGCCATTAATTCTTGTTGCTATATCACATCAAACATAACATTGTTTCTGCCAGATGTTGCTGTCCAGTACATTTTCTGCATAAGAATGGAAAAGCATTCAGAAGCGATGTCAATTGTAATGATTAGGAAATATTTATATATTTATTATATATTTCATTTAAGAAAGCAAAAAATATATAAGAATTTACCCGAAAAGGCTTTCAAAAGAAATCATTTATTACCTTATAAATATTTGCCATTTTAAACTTAAACCTAGTTAGCTATCTAATAACATTTGCTCAACCTTTCTTGTTCCATCGAATGATCATCTTCACAAACACTAATGAGAGAATACAAAGATGAGGTAAAACGTAACTAAAAGACTCATTAGACTACTTGTTGTAGCTTACAATTTCCAAACAACAAATAATAGCCACCTCCACTTGCTAAATTTCAACAACTCATGTGTTTGAATCAGTACAGTATACAATGTAATTTTCAAATACCAGCACGGCTCCAGCAAGTCATATTCTAACATTTCACTGTAACAAAAAGAAAACTCATTATCCAATCTACAGGTCAGATAACTAGAAATGTATTCTTCTCAAAATAACTATTTGTAATGAATTACCATAACACTCTCAGTAACTTATAACTTAAATCGATATTAACTTATTCTAATGAAGGCTGAAAAAGATATTACAAGAAAGAAATAGTATGGAAATAGAGTTTCAACTGAAATAAATATTATATAGTATTCACTATTAATTAAATATTAAAAACAATTAGCTTAAAATGTTCACAGGAATTTTTGTTCTTCACCTTAAAAGTAAAAATAATGTAAATGTAATCCATCATTGTTTCTCATATCTAGTAATTTTCCCATTTAAATTTCATTAATAACGTATATATATATATATATATATGCAAAAGTAGAAAGTAATAAATTGAAAATTTAAGAGACCTAGTTGATCAAAACCTTTATATATATGTATATATATATATAATAGTAATTATTTTAAAATTATGTATTGATGTAAATTAAAACCAAGTTATAGAAAAATTTCTGATAAATGTATGCTCTGCCATCTCTAGGCGGATGTTGGTTTTTGAGCTAACGATTTGGCAAATTCCATTCATTTAGTATCTCTAATTGCCTCAGAAACATTTACAAAATATTCGTGATTTTAAATTATTTTAAATAAAACCGGCCGAAACCTAATTAAGGCAAGTTATTGAAGAACTGAAACGAGGATTTAGGAATGAATTATTATGGATTTTTACTTGATAAATTCTCTGATAATGACTTATTTTATTGCAGATTGAGGGGTATATTTTGCTACAGCCTGCTCTTTAGAAAATTCTCTTCAAGTATAAAAACAAGGTGGTGGTCCTGTTTGAAATCAGCCTGAAGATTTTATGACGCAACAAAGTGGGTTTTTTATGAATTTTATAACAAAAAAAGGCCAGTAACCATAAAAACCATCATAGACTGGAAGCTGATAGAAATACATAAACATTTATCGCACAATCTGAAATGCCAGCTTTTATGATGCACTTGGATGTAAATGATTACCTCCACTTTCTACGCACTGCTTCAAATACATGACTAAGAAGCAACATAAAGAAAATCATAAAATTATGTACTCTGTTTACCCATTGCAATATAAAACACTCAATATTTTTTGATGGATAGCAAAAAAAATATTGCTATTTTTGTTGCAAATTAGAAAATTTTGTTGCAAAATATTATTTTTGTTGCAAATTAGAAAAATTTGCTTAGCGTTTCATAGGTTATCTGAAACTCCTTAAATAAAGCAAGGTAGCATACTAAGAGTGCATATTTAAATTAGTTGTGAAATGTAAGATCTGAATTTTGCCTGATTTCACTTAATGCTTTCATTTCCCTGGTTAAATCAATCAAGTAATTTAAGATTCTGTTCCATTTCATTGCGTAAAATAATATAAACCACACCGTATATATACTATAATGTAATAGCATTTATTATGTGTAAATATTTTGAATAAATATAGCGGTTACATCCAAACGTCATTAAATTTTACACAAGTCACAGGGAATTTTACTTTCTAAAGTAGAAAAATGTCTATTCTTGGAACTTAATTTTTATTTTGTTAAAACATAACAAGAAGTTAAAAACTTCTTCCTACGTGTCCTTTTAGCATGATGGACACACACGAGTATCTGTCCAATAATATCAAAAGTTCGGTTAGATTATTTTCTGCAGCATAATACATTTTCTGCTATTCCTTACTCCTAAAGTTCTTAATTTCTCTACAACGTAAAATAACAGTAATGTTAAAATTGCAATCAGAGTACCAATATAAATGTTTGTGATGTAGATTGAAATGTAGAAACAATCCTTGTATACACACACACACAAAAAAAAGTTCTGAAAGCTTTTAGATTTTATATTACGCCCGAAGGGGCGTTTTTTTAACGTTTCGTGTATTACATTTATTTATGAAATATCATGTTCTTCGCACTTAAACCATAAATTCAACTCAATAGCAATATCACAAAATATTGAAAAGAGCATATCTTTAGATTTTCCGATGCACAGTCACGCGCATTTGGGATAAAAATGTTTTTTTTTTTTTTTTTTTTTTTCGTACAGTGTTACCATTGCTCGTTTTAAAATCCTTGAGTTTTTTGTTAATCAAAAATTCGTTAAAATTTTACCAAGTATGGAATCCATAATAAAGCAAATTCCAAATTTGGGCTTCCAGAGGCCCACATTCTGGTGGAGACGTACGTTATTCAAAATTTGAAGGTTCTAGGTACCGTTGTTTTATCACAATGCGAGAAACATACATGTATTTATGCAGATTTTCCATTATTTAATTTCTTTAAACATAACAGAGGGCGAAAATATTTGGTAACAGCAATTTGAAAAGTGAAACGTACATATAAAGTTTTCAACACAAAATGGCTAAACGAAATTAATAGCTCTTCTGGACTAACATTCTCAGGGCTAAAAAACATTTTTTTAAAAATGAAAATTAATAAAAGGAAAATGTTAGCCACATTAATGATGTTTGGCAGGTAAAATCGGATCATTAGTAAGAACAATAGCGAAAACAACATGCATAATTTGAAGATTTAATAGCTAATAACGAGTTTCTGCATCTGGTTTTACTCAAATATTTTTTCACAGTCACACAGTGACAAAACTACTGAATTTTGTATGTGCAGCTGTAAGTTTTATTAAAGTGCTACAAATTCAGAACGTGACTGAAGACTTAATGCAATACAATGTAGTGGAAAAAAATTATTATTAAAATTAATTATTATTAAATTGTTAATTTTGTATTACTTATAAAACAAAAATTAAAACAGAAAATGTTAAATTTTTAGTTCTCTGAATAAGATATCCCTGAATAAGATCTCTGAATAAAAATAAGATAAGTTCTCTGAATAACATTCTGTTATCTCTTCATTTAATGTAAAAAAACTAGAATTCTGTTAATATCTGTATATGGTTAACTAGAAGAATATTAGCAACTCTCAAATTGTCACATAGTCAGTTCTACATCACAGTATGAATTATAATCGGGAAACTCTCTTTATCTTCATTTAATGCATGATTTTTTATTGCTTAAAATGAGTAGAAAGATAAAAATATTTTATCAGGTATCTGCAAACAGCTTTTTAGATTTCTAAATACTATAAAAGAAAAAATTACTCAGCTAAGTTCTACAATGCTTATATCTAAAGAGCTCTTAATTAATCACTCTCAAGGTCCTTTGATCTTCTTGAATGTGGCTTACTATTAACGTCAATGTTCCCATTTCTGAGCCTTAAATCCATTCCTTAAAAACGTAAGAAGGCAAAAGTGTGTATGTTTAAGGATGATCCGTCTTCCTTCGGCAGCAATCCTTTTATTAGTTGCCCCAAAATGTCCAAGTACCGCAATGACCGCTGAACACTAGTAGGTCGTCTTGAGCTTTTATCACTATAAATGGGTTGACTGCATGGGTATTACCATGGTTTTCGTTATGTAATAACGTAAAACTTCGTAACGTAGAGTTTCGCTTAGAAAGGCCTTTACGGATTTATTTTTCCGCAAATTGCCTTAACTGCGTTTGCCCATGATCATATAATCCAAGCCATTTTTATCCAGTTAAAACAAAAAAGTATACTAGGACATCGATACTTTTTATCCGATTCCTACTGATATTATATTAATAAATTTATGATAACCAAGCATAAACTCTCAGAAGTGCTTTTTTTCAAGAATATTTCAGTACAAAATTTCGTGAAGAAGTGAATGATCATTATTTTTTCGAATTAATATTTCAATAATCATCTAAATCACTTTTTAAACAGAAATGAAATGAGGCAAATAAACTTCAGAAGTAATGCAAATGCGTATAAAATGCATTACTGTTTAGTATTTTGTTGGAACATTTCTATTCTGATGAACTGTTATTGCTGTTGCGAACCCTTGCAATAAATCATTTCCTGCGCGTTACACTCTAACTTCTTCTGCAAGGGTTAATTATAAATAACAACATAATCATAAATTTGTACTGAGTTCCGTCGAAACTGCAGGTAGCAATAAATGTTATGTTTGTTTTTGTTAGATCTTACTTTGAATTTTTCACTTATTTACTAAAGTCTAGAGAAAAAGGGCAGGATTTTGTACTTAATAATACTACAAGGTATTTCTCCCGCCTTCTTAGCGTGACTTCTTGGTGTAATGGTCAGCACGCTCGGCGCGTATTCGATAGGTTCGAGTCCCGTTGCTTATTTTTCACATCTCCTGCTTCAAAA